GCACACAGCACGACCGTTTTTTCGCCTATGAAATTGGGATACTACATGTTACAGCACAACGATTAGTCGATAGGGTAGTAGAGCCGAGATACAATTTTTTCTGTCACAAATTACCTCCTCTGACAAACGGTAGAATCTTGCGATTCACTTTGTCTCCTTGTATCCTCCAAATTTATCACGTTCCGTTTGAGTGGTCTAACATATACCATTACCATCACCGGATCCAATAAAAGGTATATGCTGCCTTCTTTTGAATGAGAGTCTCCTAAAAAGTTTGTTAGAACCTTCTCAAGAAAAAGTCAGATTGGAGTGTAGCTGCCAGCCATGTAATGCCATGCCCTTATTATAGCATCACGGAAATAAATGTATACATACTTGTCGGGATTAAGTGAAGTTTCCGAAGCAACTTAGTAAATTCCAATAATTCGTGGTCTTTCTACTGTATAATAGGTCTTTCTAATGTATAATATAATAGGCGTATAGTTGCGGCAAACCAATCCATTTTTGATTGTGCGAAGAGTCTGGAATTGTTGAAAATAAAAATATTTCAAAAATGGAACTGAAGCCATACTGAAGAAGCTTTTTGTGTGTTCCTAACTGAGGAAATTACGTTAGCTTTACAAAAAAGAATTCTGAAATTAACATTCACATTGTCCTCTTTTGATTTTTTTTCACCTTTGAAATGAAGATTTTCTTTCACTTTCCTGCAGCGTTATTTCCGTTTTTTTCCAAAGGCTGTTGTTGTAAAAATAGTTAGACTCAACGACTGCACATTCTCATAGATTTATAGAAGAAAGATCCTAGTTCGGTGAAGGAAACGGCTCGCATTTGAAAAGCAACATTGCAATAAATTTTCCATGATCTCATTCCAAATAATCGCCGAACTAGAACAGAAGCCAGCCAAAGCCGCGTTTGTCACTTTTTTCGCTCCCAGAATCAGGTTCAAATTACTGCAGTGAAAACTAGAGTTTATGGTTTCGAACTATGCAGAGTGTCCCAAAAAGATGTGCACATTGTTTGGATGTTAATGACTTTCGCGAACTACCAATCTCTCTTCATTACTGTAGGACTACGGTCTGAATTTTCAGCATACATCGTCACCGTGGAATAGGTCTTTTGATGAAATAATTTTGAAAAAATCTGAAAATTTGTGTAGCAAGGTTCTCTGGCATGCTGGTTTCACTATATAACTTTTCATTAGTTTTCCGAGCTTTCTTGGTGGCGTATTCACATTTCTGACGAACATTGAAAAAAACACTTTTTACCCTAAATCTGGAATAACTTTCGGAAGAAGCACTAAACTGAAGCGCAATTTTTATATTTAGAATCAGCGACTTTGATTAGCTCAGTTCAAAAATTTTTTGGCTTGTTTGGCTTTTTATCTAAGGCAAAATACCGCTCTCAATGGCTTAAATCCTCCTCGAAGTTTCTATCGTAATCCTACAGTAATGAAGAGCGACTGATAATTTGCTCCATGCTGTAAAAAAGTTGAACCTCGCTCTACAAAATGGTACCTCAAGCTCGGCAAAAGAAATGAAATTAAGAGAGTCATTAACGATAAAACAGTGTGCACATCTTTTTGCGACACCCTGTATACATTGTTCGTTAAAAGTTAGTTCAAAGGTAAGTTAATGGGCGTGGCAACCCTAAAAAGCTGTGATTGCCACACTTTTCGATATTATGCCACACCCACTAACTTATCTTTGAAGCATCCATACATCTAGGCTTTTGATATAGCTGAAACCACTAAACCTTTTTCTCTCAATCTTAACAAATCGTTATTAGGAAAAGGTATAGTAGTTTTCCCAAGCCTATGTTGATGGCATATATTGAGTTGTTGAAGTATGCTAAATCTGCGCTATTACGTATATTCCGTGGAAGGTCGCAAATACATAGATATCTTCATTCTCACTAGTCTGAGTTTAATTCGTTTTCTTTATTCTGAGTGATAATTGCTCAAAGCAATCAGTGAAAGCTAAAAAAGCGAGGTTTCAGCTGGATTCCAGTTTCACGATTTGGCTGTTATCTGAAGTGAGATTTCTCATTTGGGCAAAGGAGTGGTGCTTTTTGAGTGCAAAAAGAGGTAGCTAACTCACTTTTAAAAACTTCATCGTATTCGAAAATAAAGACTTCACTTGGGCGGCATTACATCTGGAAACCTCAGAATTCACTAAAACTTGATACACAGTGGTGTTTGCCACCTAATTACGAAAAAGATGTGTCTGGTGGGACTTCTTCATTACGCTTAGTGTACGTTAGGATAATGAATCAATAACTGTGCCTGTATTTTGCATAGGTCTTTACTGATTTTGTTAGTATCGCTGTGCCCCAGAATAGTTCCCATGTGACTAGCGTGCGACGCGATGCGACATTGCCTTTCACTCGGGAAGGCGTTGTGGAGCAAAGCTACGCCGCATCTCCCCGTGGTATATCCTGAGGAACATTTGCGCTGCGCCGCCTTCAATTGCAGCCGCAGGAGTAGGCTGCTCCTGCCAGCGGATTACTTCATTTTCCCTATTGCTAAGCCCAGAGATGTTCAAGCTGTGTAACTGCGACAAACCAAAATTTAGGGAAAAATAGATGAATTGCAATGATGAATTGTGGATGAATCAAAGTTGATTGAGTTAAGTGTTTGAGAAAAGTGAAACACGAAATCAGTAGAGAAAAAGGACAGGAATTTTCCGTCAATTTGAGAGAAGTCGATTTCCTCTTACTTTCTCTCGAGTTTTGCTTCGACACTTCTTCCTCATACTCTAATCGTGATTCATCCTCAGAATCGTTTTTTTCACAAAATAATCTCTTTATTTCTGAAGAGACGACGGGAAATGGCTTAGTCCAGGGCCAGGCACAGATAGTCTGGGGTCAAACTGGACTTCGTTTTTGAAGTTAGAAGCAACGGGGATATCGTTTTTGTAAGGTCCCGCGGGAAGCGTCGATAAAAAACAACGAACATGTCGTTTTGCGAGTTGAGCGTGTTCTTTCGCGAGCGAGCGAAATTCAAACGCAAGACTCAAACAAACAAAACGGCTTGTTTACAGTGCAGAAACAATCACATGGCGCCGAATTTGGGCTATGTGTATACAGTATTACTCCGAACTATGTTATTAAAAGTTTCTAAAACCTATGTATCCTAATATGCGTTCCCGAACTTGTTGGTTTCTAGACCAACACCAAACCAACTGGGTTGGTTCGGAGCATAAATATCGGAGATTTCACATAAGCTTTGGCCCTTTTTGATTTGGACGATTAGAACAGTCAAAAATCTATCATGTAGTAAAGAGAGCGAATCAAACCATTCTCTCCTCTTTGAGCCAAAAGTAGTGTAATTCTATGCGTTGATAGATATTGCGCTCCAATCATATGCGGTGTCCTTTGAACTACGTAGCGAAAAAAGCATCGCCAGATTGTTGAGGCCACAGATTTGGTTGGCCTAGGCGGTTTTCGACATTCTGAGCATCAAAATAGTACCTTACCCAATGGCAGAGCCTTTAATCAACTCGAAATGTTTTCTTTTTCTTTTTTTTTTGTTATATTAGGTACTTCAAAATGCGCTTTTTTCGCTTTTTTATTGTTATTTTGATTGAATAAGGGCTTCCCTACTGATTTTTACGTCAAGAGGGACTTCGTAAAATTTCGCGAAGTTATGGGAGACTTCGTTTCCAAAATGCTCCAAACCAACGCGTGCCGGGCCCTGGCTCAATCCACTTGGTGACGCTAGCTTCTCTGCGGCTGCAATTAGGAGCAACGCAAGGCAAACCGCCTTTAGGACGTACCGCAGGCGGATGCGGAGTAGCTTTGCTCTAACGCCACGCCGCCACGTAATATCTATGGGAACCTTGCTGGGAAAAAACGATACAAATCATTACACATACATTTTCATTACATCATTACATACACGTTATCGCTAACATCGCGTCAACACCTAGTACGCCAATTACGATTCATTCCCTCTCTGATTCCACATGACCCCCAATTTGGCATGCCACAGCACACGCTTAATGCTGATTGCGTCTTCGATCTTACGTTTGGAAATGGCCGTATTTTGGAAAAACGTGCACAAAAAATGTTATATTTGCAAGCTAGAGGCTTTTGAACTCGATAAATTGCGAAAATTTATTTTGCTTCAGGCAGCTGCTGTAACATTGCAGTGCTGATCAGACCGTTTGGGTGCATATGCTGATAAGTAAGTGGATTCCCACTATTGCTCAAACATTCGAAAATCAACAATCCTGAAGCTGTCTAATCGCTGCCTATGTTGAAAATTATGGCGAGAACGCCCTTTTTCACTAGTACATGTAATATTCAATGGTCACGTCAGAACGACCATGAACTTAGCGTGCCATGAGTTGATCTTTGCACTATAAACGATTATTAGATGCATTTGACTGGATGCCTTAAAAGGGTGCAGCAGCTTATTTTGTTGTCAATTTCGCGATACTCATGACCTATTCACCTTGATTAGAGAAGATACAGTCTGCCCCAATCCTAACCAGGCCAAAATCGGCATGGCGGGAGTCCGCGCCGCGAAGGTTTCGCGCCACATCTGCGGCTAGCTAGTCTGCTCTCTCCTCGATCTCTTCACTCTCTGCGACAGCGCGCGTATGCAGCGCAATCCCCTGGCGCTGCGTGCGCGCAAATTCAGCCAAAGGTTCGGCCTGATCCCGATTGGGGCAGACTGTACCTCCTTAGGCGAGATTATGGCGACGTATTAGACAATGGCAATATAAGAACATCCAATCTGGTGTACGACACAAATTAATTCGTTTCGTTCTCTAAACTTTACGCTTTTTGTTCTTACGCATGATTGCACTCAAAACACTCTCTAATTACTAACAAAATTACTTGAAAAACATGTAACTCTCCCTTTTGTGTGAATATTCGGTTATAACGACAACCGTTTTACAGGTGAAGGAAAATTCTATTGTAACAGTTGTACTGTCTGGTTGCATCAGCTCAGTGCTACTTTCAGTAGTCCAATGAAAACATTGCTGTTTGAGTCTATGCTCGTAATTTTCCACCTTTCCGCCACCGTTCCTAACCCTTGTAAGTGCCGCACCAAAAGGACTTTGGAAGCTTACTGCAATAGCACTATGGGTGAGTTCAATTTTGGGCATCAACACAAATGCTTTTACTGATATAGAAGAAAGTGTGCTTGGCGGTGATGTCAGTAATATAGGGCTCGAAAATGGCGTGACCGCGCGTGACACGCATGCGCTTCCGCAAACCGCATTTTCTTCTCAGACAGTCGAAGAAATACCTCTGGCGGGCAAATGGCGCGAGTCTGCCACTTCGCGCTCTTGAGCGCTTTGGAGCCCTGCCATTTCACCCATTTTGGTGCTCCGGGGCTCTCCCAAAACCGACGCACCTCCGGAGCAGAGATTTGCGCATCCCTGAGAGGGGTCCCATTCGCCTGCTTGTGACGGTGAGTCACGGTGAACGAATGAGTGGTTTTTCTACTTACATGGGATAATATTTGGACAAGTGTGTGTGTGTGTGTGTGTGTGTGTGTGTGTGTGTGTGTGTGTGTGTGTGTGTGTGTGTGTGTGTGTGTGTGTGTGTGTGTGTGTGTGTGTGTGTGTGTGTGTGTGTGTGTGTGTGTGTGTGTGTGTGTGTGTGTGTGTGTGTGTGTGTGTGTGTGTGTGTGTGTGTGTGTGTGTGTGTGTGTGTGTGTGTGTGTGTGTGTGTGTGTGTGTGTGTGTGTGTGTGTGTGTGTGTGTGTGTGTGTGTGTGTGTGTGTGTGTGTGTGTGTGTGTGTGTGTGTGTGTGTGTGTGTGTGTGTGTGTGTGTGTGTGTTGAGCTGGGCATCGAGGTGATGCCTTTTTATATGAGTATTTAGCGCTCCTGTGGGCGCAAAGATCGCAGTCAAATCCGTCGTCATGATTTTATAAATAACCTATACCTCATTTTAAACATCTACTCATCAAGCCAGTGGGATCAACCCTAGAAAGAGTCAAGGGAACAACAGAAGTCAAGCCAGTCAATATCTACTAGTCTCTGTTGAAGTTGCATTGCCATATAGGCAGATCAGTGGCGGACTGAGGGTGGGAAACCCCCCCCCCCTCTCCTGAGAATGGGTCGCGAAATTTCAAAAATTACATACATGGGTTATGAAAATGTGCAAGTGACTTGTTTATTCTTGTAAATAATTAAAATAACTTTTGAAAATTTTTAAAAATTTAAATTAGCCTTAGCGGTTATGGGTCCGCAAAAATGAGAAGCCCCCCAAAAAATTTTTGGATTGAGTGGCTAACGCGACGCACCTTCATTTGGAAAATTTTTTGCCGCGCCCCTTCCCCCCCCCCCCCCCCCCCCTTGACTGCAATTTTGAGGACCATCACTGAGGCAAATATACTAAAGGAAGATAAAAGCGGAAAGCGAAAATTGAGGAAACGAGCAGGTTTTGCTTTTACGATATGTCAAATAGCGTGCTGGTGTGCAACACGTATGTTAAGTTACAAATGAGCCGACGGCATACAAGGGGTACATTTCTCTTAATCCTATTTACATGTCGTCAGAGCTCCATGCAAAAGACCAGAAACTGTAGGTGATATCTCTCAACCGCAAACTTGCAGTGGCCAAAGTAGACGTCTTAAATACTACTCTCACGAAAAACGGTACGCTTTTCAAAGTGTTCAGACGATACGAGGATGATTTTGTTGTAAGGTTTCCTTCGAAACACAAATTATTGGTTTGAAGTATCCCTTCCAGCTTAGTCCGCCCCATATTCCTTTGCCCTTCTACTTCACTATTCCTACGGAGTGCCTTGAGTCGAGAGAGTATTCGGTTGGAGATCAGCTATGGATAGGAGGTAAAACAAATTATTATCTTTGGATGTAAGACGAAATTTTTTGTTTCAGGCTACTTCACAAATGAGACTTTCTCAGTTAGACCGTGCCTATTTGCCATAAAATTAGGAAGGGTGGAGCTTCTATTTGTTTTTCAGAAAGTTTTTAATGGTTCAGAACTGTGTAAAATTTATACCGAATTCGAAGAGGAGGAGAAGAAAATGAAAGAAATGGGGATTATTGATGATACTGAGTATGATTAAAACCTTATCTCACATCGCGAAACTGTGATGCCATATATGCATATACTATGGTGGTGGTCGAAAAGTAATAGGACAGCTTGGTTTTTCTACATATTGAGATTTCTTATTCCCATCAACAGCAAACAGGCTGCAACTCAAATTTCACTTGCATAAACAACCTTCAGCTATCATTCTATTAATGCGCTACCGCTTCTCTTTTACTATCCTTGGAGCAACATCCTGAAGAAGTCGGAAGAGTTTTTTGAACAACTCGCAGTTTTGCGCTGCTATACCGTGAAGTAAGATGCAAGCAGCAAAGCCTTGAACGGTGTATCGTGCATTCGGAATTCTAAGTTTCCAGGTAAAAAAGGCAAAAAACTTGAAATTTAACGATTTTTGGCGCAATCATAGGGTCGAAAAAAACTTGTTTTATTCTATATGCTCCGAAGACATGCGAAAGTTGAGGCAAAATGCTTATGGATGAATAGTGAGTGTATAAAGAGCTCTATCGGATGATATCTATAATATTTGCGTTAACTTGCGAAGAAGTAATTTGCAAGTGCCTCCTATCTCGAAATCGCTAATGACCATATACTGAATCAAAGCATTGACACAACGTCGTTAGTTGTACGATTGTTCCCTCCCTCACCCACTGTATCAGTGGTATCTGGATGGTTTCACGTGTCTGAGTGCGCAGATACTGTTCAAAGCTCAAAATTTGTCGAAGTGATTAACTTCGCATTCAGCAAGTTCAAAAACTATTGAACATGTAAATGGCCTTATGTAAATATTGTTTGAAAGAGAACAATATGTTTAGCATCTATCAAAATAAGAGCTTTTGATGAGCTCTTTAATAAGAATTCTGAAGCTATTCTCCATGCGTCCCATTACTTTCCGACCACCCTAATAACCTCTATATATAAAGCAGAAAATTTGTATGTTTGTGCACATTCCCCGTAGTCACGTAACCACACCAATTCACAACCCTGTACATTATATAATCATTATAACGTGCAGGTTGTGCAGGGTGTGCAGGGTGCGCAGGGTGCGCAGGGTGTGCAGGGTGTTCACGGTGTGAAGGATGTGTAGGGTATGCAGGGTAGGGAGGGGGTTAAGTGAACATGCTGATTCCAATACATTATTGACAGGAACCGGGTTTGACAGCTTGTATCAAACAAATGAATACTAAAATCTATACATACATGTATAAAGCTGAATGTTGGTAAATTGCTAGTTAGTGTGTTTTTTATAGAAACTTTTGTGAGGAGACCAATTGGCGCAATACTTCGTACACATAAATTTTGGACACCGGCCCATACCGTTGGCTACTTTTCGCGGCGAAATTCCCGCTCCTTATATTGATTTATCGATTCTGAAAGAAAATAATCTCTTATCAATTACTATCAAATCATGTCCATCTTTCGTGTGATAGCGGTAGAACTTATTTCAATTAAACGATGAGTGAGAGCGGTAAGTCAAGGCGAAAAAATGGGGAGTCAGGGAGTATCTTTTTTGTTTTGCACGAGAGTAGAAGGAAGCCGAAACGCAGTGAGCTGAGCCTTAAATGTTGTGCGCCTCCTGCTCTATGTTGAGCCAGGCAAGTTCACGGTGCGGGCGAAACCGGGCGTGTCAGCTAGAAATAAATAATAAGTAAGCAATACACCATATACATGCTGTGTTATGCCTAGAGCCACCTAAATCGAAATACCTTACAAATCTTTTAAATTGTTTGATTTTCGCAATTACGCACGTTTTCACGTAGGCCTTTTTGCCAACCGTAATTTGATGGGCTTCCACATCTTGGCGCAGTAATCCTGCCCTTTGTCTGTCATCTTAGAGACAAAGATTTTGCTTCAGAATTTCTGCAAAATAACACTGATGCAAATGCCCATACTGCTACACTCGAGCTGCTCTTGCCTAAGTATTTTTCAATTTATTTTGAGATACCGTTCCAAATATTTTATTTTTTCATTTGCTTCCACGTGTGCAGGATTGGAGAGTTGATATTACACTCCGCCAGCAAACGCTGAACAATGTCAAAGTTGGGTCCACAAAAGCCAGTATAAAACAATTATGGCTAATTTTCAAATAGTCTCTTTTGCCAAGTGTGATTGACGTGAGCCTACAAACGACACGATTTATAAACTGAGGAGAGGAACGATCTATGGAGAAACTTGTCATTGTTCGAATTCAGTCGGGAGATGGAATTCCGAAGGAAACCCGGTGGAGCATGATCTATTATGTTGTTGCAGAAATAATGTCAGTTTTTTTAGCTTACATTCCAAACAACTTTTTTCCACTAAATTTTTTATTTCAAATTTAGATTATGCATCCGACATTTTGCACATCCGCACTCAAACTCGGAATTTCATTGCTGTAGCTTTCTTGGCCACGATTCAGGCGCAAATGAACGAATTTCTGTGAAAATATAGCTTTTGTATTGGATGAATATTGTTTACATGTTGTACGTTCAAATAATTCATTCAACTATACCTGGACTAAGAATCGATGCCCCAAAATAGATACTTGCTGCCTAGCATTCTATAGGTTTGAAATTTTTCTATAATTCAGGCAATCATCGAAGCTCCGCTCATTTCTGTATGCTTAGGTCAGCATATCTCGTCTACAAGTTTTGGAGAAAAATTTAGCTATTTAGTGCTAAAGAATAATTCCGAACATTCATAGCTTGAGACTTTCTGGCCTAACACAAATAGTCTCAAAAAAAAAAGTAAACAACCTTGGGTTCTTTTCTTTGGAATCTTTTCTTTTCGCGGAACTCCTTCGTTAAGGTCTTTTTTATATAAATATACTATTGGCTTGCGCCTACAATAAGCTGATGGGCAGCCATAGGAACAAAACTTGAAGGGAGTTGTAATATCTCAAGGATGAGGCTTTTGAAAAAAAACTTTGGTTTTTTGAAGCACATTTTTCTTCCCGTTCGCTATCAGTATTAGTAGACGCGAGCTAGATTACAAAAAGTTGTTTCTGGTGGTCTTGACAGCATAAAAAAATGAAGACTCGACAAAGTTATAGCTTTCCAAAGTAGAAATTTGCAAGACTTACATTATTTTTGCAACAATCCAATAAAAAGTTATTGATACATGGCAGTCCTTCTCGGCTGTCATTAAATCGTATACCATTTTTGAAGCGGTTTGCTCTTCGCAAACTTGAGAAAAAGTGTAGGAAATAGGGCGCAATCAACTATTTTTTCAGTTATCACAGTGGTGGTGTTTATATAGATTTTGAAAACGATATGATCATTGCTACGTCACTCAACTCATAGCAGAATTAAGAATGTATTAAGAAGAAGATATTACTGTCGACTACTTGCTTATCATAAAAAAACTGCATATATTCATGGAGGCTAATAAGCTGGCTCGCTGGCTCTTGAGCGTCTCTTAAGTTTTTTTTTCAAAGAAAGGCAAAGAACCGTTAACTTTATGTATGATTTCTACATATTCCCTTGTTTACGAAATCTCTGTGTTGAATCATACTGTACTACAACAAGTTTTACCAAGAGCTTCAAAAATTTATACGTCATGAAAAGAACGAGAAAATTGCTCATTTCGGTCGGATAAGAAATGAGTGGCTCTAGCTCATACCTTCGATAGTCAAGAGACAGAACCTAGAAAGTGATAGTTGTTTGAGTTGCTGCCCCTATAAAAAGTGAAGGTTGTTTTGAAAAATAGATGAAAATTTAGAGATATGAATTAAACCAGGAAACTTGAAAAATTCGTATAAAGCAGAAGTTAGCACATCACCAAATTTGAAACCTAAATTTGGTGATTTCCTATGCACAGTTTCCTTTTCAGGATTGCTGGTCAAATTGGGCGCGACAAAAACAAAGTTTTTTTTAGTTCAAAAACAGCGCTTTTGTTGTGGCGGCAGAGGGGAGACCGAAGAAAGGAAAACTTGTTAACAACTGAATTTAACATGTTAAACACGTCAGAAAAGATATGTTGCGTATCGACGCCATCTGATTTTTGATGCGTCCTTTGAATTTTCACCCCCGCATAGTCGTTTCGCATCCTGCGACTTTGTCTGAATTCTTCCGCTCATCATTCTGAGGAAGTATCGTCCAAGTTGGAAAAAATTCGTTGCGAAATATTGAAAGAGAACAAGGTGAAGAAAAACGCACTTTTTAGTAATTTTCAGAAAAAAACCGGCGTAAACAACAAGTAGGCTCGGCGACGTTGTCTACATCATAGACAGAAACAAGACCTATCGGATACACAAAAAACCGAGTGTAAAGAGTTAAATTGAAGAAAAACCAAGAGGTTTTTGAAGACGCCGTTTCTTCCATATTTTTCTTTTAAATCATAAAAAGGAGTTTTGCGACGTTGTCAGCGTGAAAATAGAGATCAAGAGCTTTATTATGATATATAGATTGTAGTAATTGGGCTCTGAACAACGAAGAAAAGGGTACCAGAGCCCAATGCCTACGCCTTTTAGCGAGGTAGCGCGCAGAGCGCAGAGACGCAGACGAGCAGCGGAGACAGACCAGAGCCGACGGGGCATTTGGCTCTGATTATTGATCTCCGCGCGGTTATAACGAAACCATATAACATTATATATCGTTGTGATCCTCATGAGTTGGCCAGGAGCATTGACAACGTCGCGGGTCTTGAAAATCACTCCAAAACAAGATAGGCCAGCATTTATGTGGCAACTCTCTGTGCTAGATTTGAGCGCAATTTCTCGTTTTCATTGTACTCGAGCGGCTTTCATGAGCCTTCAGCGCTCAATCGCAGTCTCGAGGAAGGTTAATTGGAAAATTTTGTCCTAGTTTCTAATTGAATTTTTGACAAAAACCTTTTTTTTTTCAGCAAAAAGAGGCCATAAAAACGCAATCCTTCGGTTTTTTGAGCTTCTTTTGGATATCACTACTATACTTGCCTCGTTCACATTTATGCCTATCGTTATGTCATTAGTTGTGTTGTAATATCCGTGGCTTCGCCTCGGATGTCTCCTCCACTTCTCTCCAGGTGAAGGTTGTGTTTTATCATGACGCTTAAAGGGAA